GGCTGGGGGCTCTGCATCCTTTTGCTCCGCTGAGCCCCACTTCCACCTTCTGCTCTGACTGCGAGATCAGATCATATCGGCCTTCAAGAGGGAAGTACGCCTGGCGCACCGCATACATACCCTGCTGGCTGGAATGGCACAGACCGGGGCAGCGGCGGGAGCAACGCGTGGCCTGGGGGTTCAACGGCTCTAGGGTTTTCGGCATCTGTGCTCTACCACAACGTAGTTACGGTGGGTACGCCGGGGCGGACGCCGCCGCGTGAGGTAGGCAACCCATCCGACGAGCATGTTGGTCCAGGTTGACTACACACTGGGCCCTCCGGTAACCAGATCAACTGAGCCGGCACTTTCACTCACTTGCATCGCTGCGTCTGCGCGTCTAGTCGCGTCGGCCCACAGGCACGCGGTCCACCTGGTCCACCCTCACAGGAGTAAAACGGCGATCGGTAAAGAAGCGCGCCTAGGTCCATGCCCGGTGACGCATACCTTGCTCGCGTAGTATTCCTTGACAATCCGTTGGGCACAAGGCAGATGCACATTTACTATCATTCGAATCGACCGACGAGGACCCGCTCTTGATGGGGTATTCTATTGAACTGTGGACTAGGCGCCACCAGAGCCAAGCCTTATCTTATTTTGACCGGATCTCTGCTCTGGCCCGCGAGTATCTATCCGTATCTCACAGTCACTGCCAACACGCCCGGTGGTTTGAGGCTCTTCAAAGGCCCTGCAGGCAAGTGCCACCTTCCGTACTTCAGTGACTACTGATAAAGCCGAATCGTTCGTTCAAAAAACTCAAACACAAGCACGCACACCGTGCACACATTCATTGACATGCATGCAGCATTGCACAATTCCTCCCTCCAGCCCTGCAGGGGTGCACCTGCAAATAAGAATATGATTATTGGTACGATACGTCGCCCGCCCGGCGCCAGACGTTGAGTTTGTTTTTGTCTGAGTGACAGTTTGTGTTCATGTTTTCTAGTTAATTTCAGACTATGCCAAATGTAGGGAGACTTTTCTCGAAATTTTTAAAATATAAAACATGTTGCGGCAAACTTGCTGGACTCTGATTTATCTGTTGTCAAGTCAAATAGATTGATAAAACATAACCTAAGTCAAGTGAGGTAAATTTTGTTTAGTAAATTAATAAGCACTTTGTTTTATCACTGGAATTTCATCCACCTGTGTTTATGGATTAAATAATTTTGGTTTTTGATGTTGCATAATAGTACACAAAGTATTATTTATTTATTTATTTTAAGGAGAAAATTGAAGTAGTTTGGACAGATTGACATTGTTTCTACACCACAGCGTCTTAAAATGTCTGGGTCAATGCGCCTCCTGGACGAGCGCCATGTAGCGCTAAAAATTGAGCTCATGCTTTGGTCTAACAAAATGGATCTGCTGGCATTGTCAAATACAAAGGGTAAGCTCTTTGATTCATTCTCACAGATGTCCTTTTTTTATTTGAGATATTTGATTAATGTTTGTCATGTTCTTAGGAGAGGTAGCGTTGCATCGCTTATCCTGGCAAAGAGTATGGTCACTTTCTCCTCCACAGGAGGGGGCATCAGTGAGAGCCATGGCCTGGAGACCAGATGGCAAAGTCATAGCTATTGCATACAGCACAAGTAAGTAAAGATGTTTTCAGACTATATTTTTGAAAATGATATTTTTTAAAATATGTTTTCTATTTTAAGGGGAAGTTCTTCTCATTGATGTTGAGAACAAGGAAACATTACATACCTCTCACATGCAATCAGATATAATTTCACTCACATGGGTGCAAGAACAGGAAGCAAAGAGTGATAACAAAGGAAATCCAGCCCAGGACAACAGCAGAATGCCAAGTGTTGTATGTTTGATTTATATAAGACATAAAAGATTTTTTTTAAATCCATGCTTTTGGTACTTGCGAATGATTTCTTTAATCTAATTCAAATGCTGTTTGATTTCTTTGCACAGGAGAATGCAAGCAAATTCCTTCCCAAGCTACCTCCTTTATCAAGAAGTTTTGGGGTCAATAAAATCAATAATGAAGAAAACTTAGAAGACACTAAACGTATTCGTGATCAGGCAAATTTAAACATACTACTGGTTGGCCAAGAGGGTAGCAAACTTAGTCTTAGCATTTTTGGCCTCTTCCCTTGTGGAGTAATCGACCTACAACCATATATGAAAGAAGCAGGTTGTGTTTCATGTGGGTCTGTAGTAGATGCTGCAGTATCGGATGATCTCAAAACTATGTGTGTATTTGTTGAGGAAGAGAAGAAACTTGAGAGTGTAAGTTCAAAATTTTTTGATACGTATTTGTGAATACAGACATCTTTTTTTGTTTTTCTAATAGTTGTTCATGTTTCAGACATCAACAAACAATGGTAGAAAAATATGGGCTGTGATATTAGAGACGCCATTGTTAGCTTCTCATTCTAAAGAGTTGTACACCTTGGCTTTGAAGCAAGGCCATATAAGTAGTTTGCAAGGTACACATTATTTATGAGGCAAAAGATTATTTGTAAGGAAACTGTTTCTAATCGACTTGATGTATGTCCAGGTTACCTTTCTAGTACCATGCAAGCCATCACTGAAGCATGGGAAAGTATTCTGCTAGAGATGGATTCAAAATTAGCATCTTATGCATCAACTGTAGCAGATGGTTCAGTGGCAGCTGACTTTTTAGATTTGTTGATGTTGGGAGTACCATCAGCAGAACTTGAACTTTTCCTGCAAAGAGATCTAACCGAAAAGGGTCTGAAAAAACTTAGTCATTCAATAGAATTAAGTTACACAAACATTCAAGTGAGTATTCAAAATTGTATTGTCTTTTTTCTCTTTGATCAAAGCATTATTATTAAAACCAGCATTTTGGCAACAAGATTTTAAATTATGTTCTTTCTCACTCTTGAACTGTAAGAAATTTGTACAGAAACACGTCCACTGTGTGGGGACAAGTGTTTCTTTCCATCTAACTGAGCTGCGGGGTATGGCCAGACATCTAGAGCGTTATGCTCCACTTGGATTGAGTGAGGAAACTGTTGCAGCTTCCCTCTCTGCTGCAGGTGCATTTCTAGTGAAAGCAACCGAAGTTCAACAAGTCATAGACAATTCTATGAAAAAAAATAAGGCATTCTTCCGCTGGTTGTTTTTGGTGTGTAACTGATTGCCATTTCAGTTTTAAAAAGAATATTTTGCAGTTGGCTTTACATTATTTTTTTTTATTCTTTTTGGTAGGCAATGCTCCGTTTGACAGATGAGCTAGCTCCAGCTGACATTACTAAGCAAACACAACAAGATCTTACTTTTATTGCTGAGTTCTTGTGTAATTTTGATGGATCTACTGATACAAATAGCACAGTTGCGATAGATCAGACTGTTGAGCAAGGAAATCAAACAAATACTAAATCTGCAATTAGACCCGGAACGTGTACACCTGGGAAAAAATCTCGCTTCAATTTAGAACGTCTTGGTCAGTACCTTATTGATCAGGAGCTTTCATTTCCTCCAGAAGCAGACAAAAATCCATGGAGCAAGCTCTTAGCTGACAACCCAACTTTGAGTCAAGATCCTCTGATAATACCACATTTTAGGTAATACTATATATTACATCACACATGCTGAAAAAACCCTTATCAACAAATGTGTTGTTTTTTCATGTTTTTGTTTTTTATAGAAAAATGTCATTGGTCCAACAACATAACCATCTTGGTTCTGCAATTGATGCTGTCTTTAAGGAACCAGCAGAGAGTATAGGGCAGACATTTAAACTCCAGCGTGTTGTAAGGTTACCTGATACGGCTGTTACAAATCCATTGTACTTTGGATCTGATGGTAGCAAAGATTCTAATAAGATATTCCGAATCACCATTGTTTACACTGGAACTGACAAGAGGGTTGTAGTAGCCTATCCAAAAAATGAGACCTCTCTCAACATAATTGATATACCAACACATATCCCAAGATCTGAAGCAATGGTGTGAGAAAATGTTGTTATGAATGTGTAGTTAGTGATTTTATGTTCTCTTGTAACATATGTTTGTTTTCAGATACCTATTCAGCAAACGTGTCTATCTTTTATCAGCCCTATTTCAGATGTTGTTGATACATCCTTAGATAAACTGTCTAGCCCACTATTCAAAATTAATGACATGCAGTTTTATGTGGCGGACATTCTTTCTCTTTTCTTGGAAAAGAGAGGAGATGATAGAAGTGCAGTTTTCATTCAGGTACATTTTTTTTTTTTTTACATTGCTGCTTGAACTTGCCATCAAGTTAACTCTCTACTAAGCACAATTTTTTTTTCATTTTAGTTTCCGTTGAGACTTGCATCTTGTATTTCGGTCACAGTTCAAGGCAATCCTAGTACATTTCATGACCTTTCCCCAGGGGATGGGACAAATCTTTTAGATTCAAGTGCTCTACGCACCATTGATAATTTTGTTGGATCTAGTTTAGCTGTTAGTGGAAGTAGAAAAGTTGCAGTGGTGCTCTCTGAGAATCGTTGTAAAGTTCGCCTGTTTGAAATGGAAATTGAAGAAGATGAGGAAGAGGATGAAACCATGGACGCTACTCACAGCACCATAAGAGATAGTGACCAAAGTCACTTGCTTGATCAAAGTAAAAGCTCTGAAGCAGACATGGATTAAATTTGTGCATTACTGATGTGTAAGATTGGAGTAATAAATATTGGTATTTATTGAAAGCCACAATACTAAACAGATGTACCTTTATTAAGATGCTAGCAACATTCCTCAAAATCAAGCTAGCAACTAATGAAAATAGATTGTAAACATACAATTACTTATTGCTTTATCACAAAATGCAAAGTAAAGTTCAAAATGCACTTTGTCACACATGACACCATAATGTTTACAATAACACAACCTTAAAAGCGTACAAGTACTCAATAATCTTAAAAATAAAAACTTAAAACAAAATATCAATACATTCTAGTGGATATTTTTCTACCCAGAAAATGCAGTTACATAGAGAAAAGTACCACAGCTTGCATTGGAAATGACATATGTAGTTTAAACTTTATGTACAATTGGTACATACAGTTGACCTCTCCTTTACAAACACAACAAACAAAAACCGGCATATTTTTAAAAGTTCTAATATTTGTCAAACAAAGTTCTAATATGCAAATCTAAGTTTGGCATCATAGCCAAGCTTATCCAGGTTTGGCACACAGGCAAAGTTAATCATGGGCGGAGGCCCACACATTAACACAAGGGTGTCTGATGAAGGGGGGAATAGATGACCACTAATCATTTCAGCACTGACAAATCCTTTGCTGTATTTCCATCCTGAAAAAGTAAAGATTTGTTATGTAGCATAACTGGGAAGGAAGCACAATTTACAGCAGCCAGCCACTTGATATATTTGTGATTATTTGTTATTATTTTTTCAATTAAAAGAAAATATGTAGAGTATACCTTCAGAGGGTGAGTCTACTGTGTACCACAGCTTAAATCGTCCATTTGAATCAGCAGCGGCTTGTTCAAGTTCCTCTCGGAGTAAAATGTCTTTTTCAGTTTGATTAGCAAACAACAGAGCAAGCTCAGTTGAATCAGATGTGTCCCTCATCACACTCCTTACAAGCTGAAGCATTGGAGTAATACCAGTACCACCTAAAAAATTAAGAACATATAAAACATAATTAAGTTTTATCAAGTCCAATAGTTTGATAGCAAGTAAATTATAAAATTAAATTACCAGCAATCATTGCAACTTTTTTGACTTTCACAATAGTTGGTGGAGCATTTCTTAAAGCTTTGATTGAGAACTGTCCACGACCTAAATACTGGAGACGACCAGTGGGGCCACGAATATCAATGGTGTCGCCAATTTTTAAGTCATTTAGATGTTGGCTCATCTTTCCACCATTGGGGAATTTAGGATGAACATTTTTAAAGTAGACCTGTCAGAGCAAAAATGAGTTTGTAATTAAAGTACGGTAACAGTCAGCCGGATCCAAATGCAATAACTATGTACTGTACCTTAACAACAAGATCCATGTACCCCAAATCTTCATCACTGCTTACTGGTGTGTAAGACCGAATACATGGCTCACCATTGATTGATGCTGAAATATTTATATGCTGGCCAATAGGCAGACCTAGATAGAAACAGGGAATACATTTAGACTTCCCTAAAAAATTCATTTTTGACAGCAAAATAAACAAACTATTCAGAATTTACCCAAGCAATGCTTTTTGGATGGTAATTGAAATCTGAACCTTCTTGTGTCATGACTTAGTTCTTCCTTCTCAATCAGGGGAATGGCAATCTTCTGAGCCGGATCTACTAGAGCAACGAGCTTTTTCTTCTTTGTTGCAGACCATAAGGCAACGATGATAGCACTTGCAACAATCACTCCAGCCCCAACAAGAAGCGGTAAATTCTGTTGGCAAAAATATCCAAGTAAAGTTTGTATATTATGATACAGTTCAGTGTGTACAACAACAACAAAAACAATCTATTCAAAAATATTAAACCGGAAAAAGAAAAACGTGCACAACTTTCAACAAAATAAAATATCTACATTCTACACTGGCTGAATTATTGTATAATACCATGCAGTTTTACGCTTAAATATCTGGAAAAGGACCATTTGAAATTCATGCTCAAACACTACACAATCCACAATCCTATCTCATTATATTGTTTCTAAATTTCCGCATTAAGACAATAGAAAACCAAATTATTAAAATTTATTGTGGTTAAAATCATGTAATAATATCACACAAAACAATGTGTTAGTGATAAAAAATTGAAATACGTACAATTAAGGTTGTTATGAATAATTGTCACTCAATATAATGATATCTACCTCCACCACTCAACTTGAATCAATGTTACATCTACCTAAGCTAGTCTACGCATTCAAAATAAAACTTGAAAGGGGCGTACCAGTGAGCTATGCATCTTTTCGTCTATATCAGGGTATTTTCTTGAAGCTTGAAGCTGCCCACTTCCATGGGCGTTCAGCAATGCACAACTTTCACCTTAAAACTGATGCAGGGAAGATTCAGTCAGTTAAAAAGTTAATTTTAGCCGACTGTGTTAGCTTGACTTGGTGTCAAAACGCAAAAACTTTGTAATCATTTGTAAACTGAATTCAAATTAAATAAATAATAAAATGTAGGACAAGGCCAAAACTCAAAACAACAGCGAAATTTCGAGCCAACAGATCCACGTAGAAAATCTAGGCTAGTGACCTTGACCAAACAGAATTAAGAAAAAGTGCTATAATCGCGTTATCGGCGTCCCATTACATAATCTCGGGAGCGGAACCTGGCGCTGACAAGACACACACTTGCTCACAGCGGAGCGTCACCCGTCGCCTTCACAGAAAGGACGAATCGGCCTGAAAGAAATCCCAAAGAACCGTGAAACCCGAATGAATAGTGCCTCGAAACCGCCACAGTTTTAAGTACACGCGCGTCGTTGCAAATCATCAAAGGACGGGCACGCGACTCGCGATTACAAAACTTCCGCCCCTTACTTATCCACCAGACGCGTCAGTCAATGGGTCTCCTAACCTGCAAAGTGTGACATAGCGTCGGAACGGGTTCGCACCTCCCTCCCCGATCTCGGGTGACAGCACACAAGGGGCTTAAGCCAGAGGACGTACCAGGACGCTGGCGCGCGCGGCCTCGGCCTGAGGGGATGACATGGCTCGGAAGGATCCTGGCGAGCTGGCAAGACTTCTGGCTTTGTTGGCCCGGGATCACTCGATGATTTTCATCCAAAGAGTCGCCTCGGCGCCTCGACGCGGCAGTGCGTACTGTACTGCTACTGCTGGGTGCTGCTGCTGCTGCTGCTCCTCCTCCTCTCCTGCCGCTGCTGCAGCCTGAGCCTGCAGCCGGTGAGGGGGGTGAGGGAGGGACGAAGAGGGCCGCCTGAAAGAGACTGTAGATCAACACATCTCTGTCACTCTCACGGCACTTTCCGCACACCGCTCACTTGCGTGCACGGTGATCGGTGCCGGGTATAATCAGCCATAATCAGCTGATGAGTGGGGGGCGGGTGGGGAGAGACAGGCCCGGCTCTGCAAACCTCTCAAACTTTATGTGCGTTCGCGGCGAATGAAGAAACGGAGATGCTCAGTTGACGCGCTGGCTGCGTACTCGCTGTCGACAAGCCCACCTTTTTGCCTCTTTCTCACGGTCGAAAAAAAAAAGTGATGACGCAGATCGCTACATGAAATTAGGAGTTTCCCTCGTCCCTGAGGCTTTGGCGCACAGTCTGCTACCATCCCCAGAGATCAGACAGCACAGACAAGTGGCGACTAACTTATTGCTCGGTTCCCCGACTCGTCCCAACAGCAGTTTTAAAATTAAAACAATACCGCGTCCTTGGACTCGGCACGGCAGTCCGCCAATTCAAGCCCCGCCCCTCTCTCTCGTCCCTCTCCGACCCATCTCCTATCCCCTCCTACCGCCTCTCACAAAAACCCCACTTTACTGAGGTTGAAGATGGTTCGGCGGGAAGGAGTTATGTCAGCTATTCTCTACTCGGCTGGCACCACCGCCCCACCGCATCGGCCGGAACCTACCTCAATAGTAAGGGTGCCACTGGGTACCACTCCCTCCTCCACGACCCAA